ACTAGGTGTCCTGCTCAGCACCTTGCAGCTAGGCCCTTCTCCCTCTACAAGCAGAAGGAGACTGACTGGGCTCCTAGCTCACAGCCTCTTATAGGGGCCAGCTGGGCCAGATTGAGCTGGCCACAACTGCAGCTGCTCCCTTAATCTGGCTGGGCTTTTCCCCACAGCCCCAGCCCTCTCCCCGGGCTGCCTTCAGCCCTGTCTGGGCTGCAGCGGGTAACCACCCCACTACAGGTAGCCTGAGTGCGGGTATGATAAATCGCACACACTGCTCACATGTTGAGTCTCTTTTATCCCCATTGTTTAGTATCCATTGACATATGGTTCAGGATCTCCCATGGTCCTAGTCATTAGGACGCATTTACCTCAGACTGGCAATCTGAGCCTTTTTCATGCACATAGTGCTAAAAGACATACTTTTCCTCCTAGAACAAAGCTGGCCTTTTGAAAGTGCTCAGACATATAGCGATGAGCATAGACTATGCAGGTGGATAGGTGATCCTTCTCCATCAGTTGTGCTGTGCCCACTGAGTGTATCCCAAAAACATCCCAAAAACATTCCAGATTTTAAAGCCAGTTAGACTACCCATCTCCTAAGGAGAATTGATGAGAGGAGGTGGGCTCCTAACTTCCATTGTGCCCTTGAAAATCACCCCCCAATGAAATAAGAGATAAAACAGACACACGTTAGGCCATCTAGGCCATCACACATGACAATCTAGGATCGTTCCCTATAGTATAGTTGAGTGATTTGGCCAGTCCACTGTTAAAGGATGAAGTAATGGATATTCTACTATTTTCCCTGGGAAACTATGCCACAGCCTAATGAATCTCATCATTAATAAATAAATACAGCCATTCATTAGGAATTTTTTCTGGATACTCAACCTAATTTCTACTTTGTTTCATTCTATCTCACTGTTCCTAATTATATCTCCTTGGAGAAAGCTAATTAATTCCTTTCCCTCCTTGGAGTTGAAAATGCATGTTTAACTCTGGAGTTTATATCTCAGGATGCTGCCCAAATATTAGTGGAAAATCCTGTGCTAAGCACATATACTCCATGATTCTCAGATACTTAAAACTTCACACAAACTTATTGATTTTTCTCCCCCTTGCCTCCAGTAAAGATAGGTAACAACCCTGCTTTGCTCTCTTATTTTGGTGGACTAATATAGAAAACTTCCCCATACTTGTGTATGCAAAACTCTCCCTCTACCTTTCAGTGTCTCCAAGTAGCCAGCTGTTGTGCTACCCTGTATATTCTAGGTCAGTTGCTGGGGTTATTTTGGTTTTTATCAAATATTGAATTCCTATAGTATTCTCAGCAATGGGAACACACATTCCTTTCTGTCAGGGTGCAGTGAAGTATAAGCTGGCTTGAATGACTGTCAGCAAGGCCGCCTGTGCTTCAGTTTGTCTTTTTGATGAGCAATGCACCAGGTGGGTGCCTCTGCAAAGCAATGGCTGTTACCTCTCTGCTTCCCCTGTTTCATTTTTTCAGTGTGCTCATTAGAGTCCTATGATGGGCAACTGAGCAGATATGGTTCATGACTGTTTGGCTGATGAGGAAGCATCACCTGCCCTAGACCCCTAGCCAAGTACATCAAACTTGTCTTTGATCTTGTTCCTGCATAGTAATGCCCATCTGGAGTGTAAAGAGAGCTAGAGGAGAGCTGTGGGGAAAATCTGCATCCTCAAGTTTATAAAACTCTTTGTCAACATATGATGAAGCTTGAGCATATGCACCATCACCGTATGGAAAGCTAGGAGTGGAAGCACTCTCTCTATGAGCACCATGTAACAGACGTAGAATCAAGATATCACCAGGAAATGGAATTGGTCTAGTGTAGTCAGGTTCAGCTCCCCTAGACTTCAGTCAAGTTGCTTCTCAAATCAAGCCTGATTTTATCCCCAAAACCTAAGTAGCTCCAAACCTAAATCCACAAAGAATAAAGACAGAGCTAGCTGCACCCTGTACCATGCTGAATTACCAGTTCTTGAAGGGAAATAAAGCTCTGTGCTAGAAAGGTCCCCTTCATGATCCTAACCAGGACCTTGAAGATCACAGATAATGAAAGACCCCGAAGAACGCATCCCAAATTTAACATGAGAACATTTTGGGGGCTGGATTAGTTCCAGTCAGATAATCAGTAAAACTATTGACATTCATTAAATCATCCACTTCTTTGCAGCAATAGTCAGCCTTAGGGCCAAATTTTGCCCTTTTATACTTGAGCATAACTACAATTGACTTCATTGGGATTTGCATCCACTTATGCCAAAGTTGAATTTGGTCCCTAATGTATTAATTAAAGGTCTTCAGTTACCTAAGGCACAAGTATAATACCCTCACAGACTGAGGGTATGTCTATACTACGGAATTAGGTCGAATTTATAGAAGTCAGTTTTTTAGAAATCGGTTTTATATATTCGAGTGTGTGTGTCCCCACAGGAAATGCTCTAAGTGCATTAACTCGGCGGAGTGCTTCCACAGTACCAAGGCTAGAGTCAACTTCCGGAGTGTTGCACTGTGGGTAGCTATCCCACAGTTCCCGCAGTCTCCGCTGCCCATTGGAATTCTGAGTTGAGATCCCAATGCCTGATGGGGCTAAAACATTGTCGCAGGTGGTTCTGGCTACATATCGTCAGGCACCCCTTCCCTCCCTCCCTCCGTGAAAGCAAGGGCAGACAATTGTTTCACGCCTTTTTTCCTGAGTTACCTGTGCAGACGCCATACCACGGCAAGCATGGAGCCCGCTCAGGTAACCGTCACCGTATGTCTCCTGGGTGCTGGCAGACGCGGTACTGCATTGCTACACAGTAGCAGCAACCCATTGCCTTCTGGCAGCAGACGGTGCAATACGACTGGTAGCCGTTCTCGTCGTGTCCGAGGTGCTCCTGGCCACATCAGCCAGGAGCGCCTGGGCAGACATGGGCGCAGGGACTAAATTTGGAGTGACTTGACCAGGTCATTCTCTTTAGTCCTGCAATCAGTCCTATTGAACCATTTTATGGTGAGCAGGCAGACGATACGGATTGCTAGCAGTCGTACTGTACCATCTTCTGCTGGGCAGGCAAGAGATGAGGATGGATAGCAGTCGTATTGCACCATCTTCTGCCGAGCAGCCATGAGATGTGGATGGCATGCAGTCCTTCTGCACCGTCTACTGCCAGCCAAAGATGTAAAAGATAGATGGAGTGGATCAAAACAAGAAATAGACCAGATTTGTTTTGTACTCATTTGCTTCCCCCCCTCACCTGTCTAGGGGACTCATTCCTCTAGGTCACACTGCAGTCACTCACAGAGAAGGTGCAGCGAGGTAAATCTAGCCATGTATCAATCAGAGGCCAGACTAACCTCCTTGTTCCAATAAGAACAATAACTTAGGTGCACCATTTCTTATTGGAACCCTCCATGAAGTCCTGCCTGAAATACTCCTTGAAGCCACCCCCTTTGTTGATTTTAATTCCCTGTAAGCCAACCCTGTAAGCCATATCGTCAGTCGCCCCTCCCTCCATCAGAGCAACAGCAGACAATCGTTCCGCGCCTTTTTTCTGTGCGGACGCCATACCAAGGCAAGCATGGGGACTGCTCAGCTCACTTTGGCAATTAGGAGCACATTAAACACCACACGCATTATCCAGCAGTATATGCAGCACCAGAACCTGGCAGAGCGATACCGGGTGAGGAGGCGACGTCAGCGCGGTCACGTGAGTGATCAGGACATGGACACAGATTTCTCTGAAAGCATGGGCCCTGCCAATGCATGCATCATGGTGCTAATGGGGCAAGTTCATGCTGTGGAACGCTGATTCTGGGCTCGGGAAACAAGCACAGACTGGTGGGACCGCATAGTGTTGCAGGTCTGGGACGATTCCCAGTGGCTGAGAAACTTTCACATGCGTAAGGGCACTTTCATGGAACTTTGTGACTTGCTTTCCCCTGCCCTGAAGCGCATGAATACCAAGATGAGAGCAGCCCTCACGTTGAGAAGCGAGTGGCGATAGCCCTGTGGAAGCTTGCAATGCCAGACAGCTACCAGTCAGTTGGGAATCAATTTGGAGTGGGCAAATTTACTGTTGGGGCTGCTGTGATGCAAGTAGCCCACGCAATCAAAGATCTGTTGATATCAAGGGTAGTGACCCTGGGAAATGTGCAGGTCATAGTGGATGGCTTTGCTGCAATGGGATTCCCTAACTGTGGTGGGGCCATGAACGGAACCCATATCCCTATCTTGGCACCGGAGCACCAAGCCGGCGAGTACATAAACCGCAAGGGGTACTCTTCAATAGTGCTGCAAGCTCTGGTGGATCACAAGGGACGTTTCACCAACATCAGCGTGGGATGGCCAGGAAAGGTACATGACGCTCGCATCTTCAGGAACTCTGGTCTGTTTCAAAAGCTGCAGGAAGGGACTTTCTTCCCAGACCAGAAAATAACTGTTGGGGACGTTGAAATGCCTATAGTTATCCTTGGGGACCCAGCCTACCCCTTAATGCCATGGCTCATGAAGCCGTACACAGGCAGCCTGGACATTAGTCAGGAGCTGTTCAACTACAGGCTGAGCAAGTGCAGAATGGTGGTAGAATGTGCATTTGGACGTTTAAAGGCGCGCTGGCGCAGTTTACTGACTCGCTTAGACCTCCGCGAAACCAATATTCCCACTGTTATTACTGCTTGCTGTGTGCTCCACAATATCTGTGAGAGTAAGGGGGAGACGTTTATGGCGGGGTGGGAGGTTGAGCCAAATTGCCTGGATGCTGGTTATGCGCAGCCAGACACCAGGGCGGTTAGAAGAGCACAGGAGGGCGCAGTACGCATCAGAGAAGCTTTGAAAACCAGTTTCATAACTGGCCAGGCTACGGTGTGAAAGTTCTCTTTGTTTCTCCTTGATGAAACCCCCCGGCCCTTGGTTCACTCTACTTCCCTGCAAGCTAACCACCCTCCCCTCCTCCCTTTAGTCATTTCTTACAGAGGCAATAAAGTCATTGTTGCTTCACATTCATGCATTCTTTATTCATTCATCACACAAATAGGGGGACGACTACCAAGGTAGCCCAGGAGGGGTGGTGGAGGAGGGAAGGAAAATGCCACACAGCACTTTAAAAGTTTACAACTTTAAAATTTATTGAATGCCAGCCTTCTTTTTTGGGGGCAATCCTCTGTGGCGGAGTGGCTGGTTGGCCGGTGGCCCCCCCCACTGCATTCTTGGGCATTTGGGTGTGGAGGCTATGGAACTTGGGGAGGAGGGCGGTTGGTTACACAGGGGCTGTAGTGACAGTCTGTGCTCCAGCTGCCTTTGCTGCAGCTCAACCATACACTGGAGCATACTGGTTTGGTCCTCCAGCAGCCTCAGCATTGAATCCTGCCTCCTCTCATCATGCTGCCGCCGCATTTGAGCTTCAGCCCTGTCTTCAGCCTGCCACTTTCTCTCTTCAGCCCACCACCTCTCCTCCCGGTCATTTTGTGCTTTCCTGCACTCTGACATTATTTGCCTCCACGCATTTGTCTGTGCTCTGTCAGTGTGGGAGGACTGCATGAGCTCAGAGAACATTTCATCACGAGTGCTTTTTTTTTTCTTTCTAATCTTCAGTAGCCTCTGGGAAGGAGAAGATCCTGTGATCATTGAAACACATGCAGCTGGTGGAAAAAAAAAAGGGACAGCGGTATTTAAAACGACACATTTTATAAAACAGTGGCTACAGTCTTTCAGGGTAAACCTTGCTGTTAACATTACATACATAGCACATGTGCTTTCGTTACAAGGTCGCATTTCGCCTCCCCCCACCTCGTGGCTACCCCCTCAACCCTCCCCCGTCCCCGTGGCTAACAGCAGGGAACATTTCTGTTCAGCCGCAGGCAAACAGCTCAGCAGGAACGGGCTCCTCTGAATGTCCCCTGAAGAAAAGCACCCTATTTCAACCAGGAGACCATGAATGATATCTCACTCTCCTGAGGATAACACAGAGAGATAAAGAACGGATGTTGTTTGAACGCCAGCAAACATACATTGCAATGCTTTGTTGTACAATGATTCCCGAGTACGTGTTACTGGCCTGGAGTGGTAAAGTGTCCTACCATGAAGGAAGCAATAAGGCTGCCCTCCCCAGAAACCTTTTGCAAAGGCTTTGGGAGTACATCCAGGAGAGCCGCGAATGCCAGGGAAAAGTAATCCTTTCACATGCTTGCTTTTAAACCATGTATAGTATTTTAAAAGGTACACTCACCGGAGGTCCCTTCTCTGCCTGCCAGGTCCAGGAGGCAGCCTTGGGTGGGTTCGGGGGGTACTGGCTCCAGGTCCAGGGTGAGAAACAGTTCCTGGCTGTCGGGAAAACTGGTTTCTCCGCTTGCTTGCTGTGAGCTATCTACAACCTCATCATCATCATCATCATCTTCTTCTTCTTCGTCCCCAAAACCTGCTTCCGTGTTGTCTCCATCTCCATTGAAGGAGTCAAACAACACGGCTGGGGTAGTGGTGGCTGAACCCCCTAAAATGGCATACAGCTCATCATAGAAGCGGCATGTTTGGGGTTCTGACCCGAAGAGGCCGTTCGCCCCTCTGGTTTTCTGGTAGGCTTGCCTCAGCTCCTTAAGTTTCACGCGGCACTGCTTCAGATCCCTGTTATGGCCTCTGTCCTTCATGCCCTGGGAGATTTTGACAAAGGTTTTGGCATTTCGAAAACTGGAACGGAGTTCTGATAGCACGGATTCCTCTCCCCATACAGCGATCAGATCCCGTACCTCCCGTTCAGTCCATCCTGGAGCTCTTTTGCGATTCTGGGACTCCATCATGGTCACCTCTGCTGATGAGCTCTGCATGGTCACCTGCAGCTTGCCACGCTGCCCAAACAGGAAATGAGATTCAAAAGTTCACAGTTCTTTTCCTGTCTACCTGGCCAGTGCATCTGAGTTGAGAGTGCTGTCCAGAGCGGTCACAATGGAGCACTCTGGGATAGCTCCCGGAGGCCAATACCGTCGAATTGTGTCCACAGTACCCCAAATTCGACCCGGCAAGGCCTATTTAAGCGCTAATCCACTTGTCAGGGGTGGAGTACGGAAATCGATTTTAAGAGCCCTTTAAGTCGAAATAAAGGGTTTCATCGTGTGGACGGGTGCAGGTTTACATCGATTTAACGCTGCTAAATTCGACCTAAAGTCCTAGTGTAGACCAGGGCTGAGGCAAGCAGCATATGTTGTTATCTATAAATTTCTTAAGTCAAACTTAAATGAACTCCATGTTCCTCTTTAAGAACAAATGTTCAATATTTTCTCCAATAATTTGAAAATGTTACTGTGACAGGAGCCATCAATGAAACACTTCAGTGTAGATAAGAAAAGACTCAGTGCAAAGACAAATTGGCTAATCAGAGAAACCTATTGTCCAAACTCTGAGAACTCAGTGAAGAAGGATCAGGCTTCATAATGAAGCCGATGAAGTGAGCTGTAGCTCATGAAAGCTTATGCTCAAATACATTTGTTAGTCTCTAAGGTGCCACAAGTACTCCTTTTCTTTATAATGTTTTAAAGGAAGCCTACAATATTCAGTCACTCACATCTTTTGAAAAGCTTAACATTCTGATATCCAGTTTTGTAGGTCTTGTAGGAATAGTTCTGGACCTTCCAGGACAACTGGATAATGTGTCTGCGATAACAGAACAAACTTACATGATTTTAAAGGTAAGGATAAGGCCTACCCTCAGAGCTACGCCTGTGGTTCCCTTTGATTCCATTTTGAGATGTGCATCAATCCGTACAAAAATTTCAGTTTTAAGCCTCTTAAAAGATTTTTTGGAAATTTTGCAAAACAGAATGTTAGCAGACTCTTTCTGAGGAGAATGAAGATGAGAAATATATTATTTAATTAATAAATAGTTCAACTAAAACTTGAACCTGAACACTCTATTTACCCTCACTTAGATAATCCAAACATCACAGTTTATCCCTACCTGTATACTGGCCTGGAACAAATGCCTGGATCTGAGCATCAGTGAACATCTGGAAAGTTTTAGTCTACACCCAGATCCAAGCTCGGAGTCTTTCAGACTCATTTCTACAACCATCCCATTGCTGCCAAGAAAAGTTGTGTAAAAAGCCAGGAAATGCCAGCAACATTATTTCTTGAATCATCATTTCTAAAATTACTGATTAGATTATAATTTAAAGTATTAGTTTATTAAAGGGAAAAAAGTATTTAGACATAAAAATACTCTGATTTTTTAATGAAATTGGTTATTTGGTTTTTGAAACTTGAGGGAAAAATATGAAAGAAATTAACTTTAAAACATAGCCCACTCTTTGTGTTAATTAGAGGGGATAATGGATTAAACTGCTGTGGCTGCTTAAAGGCTCTGAAAAATAGATCATATAGTTTGTGGATAAAATAAATAAATAAAAGAAAGAGGCTTATGGCTTACATAGCGCAGTGACCTTTTCTGCTATAAAAGTCTCCTAGTGTTTTCACAACGAGACACTCAACATCATAGTCCACAGCTACAATGAATGTAGTATTGAATTTTCTGTTGCTGAAAGCCATTAATAATTCACTCTTGAATAATCAACATGACAATGTTAGGTTGCCATGGTAAGAGCCCTATTTATAAAAATGTATTTGGGCCATTTGAGCATGAATGCTGCATACTTGTCAAAGTGTGCAGGTGTGTGTGTGTGTATGTATGTACAGATAGTTTCAGTTGGGGTTGCCTCAAAATACACAATCTGCAACTCATTAAATATTGTATTGTACTTTTTTTTAACAAATCAGCAGAGCTCCACTGAAGTTAATGGAACTGGAACAATTTACCCTGGTAGAAAATTTAGCCCTTAAACTGTAAGGCAGTTTAAACTTCACCAGTTTGAATGGAGTGAAGTGAAGGATTGTATTTTACATGTATCTTCTAGTTGCACTCATTTGTGGATACTTGTGAGTTTCATGTTCATATTGTAATAGACCAATGAGAGAGAGAGGGTGACCATTTGTATATCACTGCCCTCTACTGTATAGAATCAGAAATGCTGAACTGTATGTCATTGGGCCATGAATTTGATATATACTAACATGTGCTGCTGTAAAAAGGTCCACGTCATATTTTTGTGTGAGCTGAAGATAATGAACAGATACCCAAGTAATCACAAAACACTACTCTAAACAGTACCGACCTGGGCAGTCTCAGCAGACAGACCCAGGGCTGAATAGGCTATAGATACTGAATTCCCTCATGCTCCTACAAAACAGCTAGGGAAGCAGGGGTTTTCAAAGGCATGCTTAGAATTACAGACAAAGCTACATTTTAAATACATTGGGTACAATTCTGCACTTTGATACATCTGCGGGCAGAGTGAGTTTTGGATTTTTATCTTGACAGTGTCCCTTTAAATACAGGGAAAGCAATACTCTACAATCATTACTTGGAAATGGTAGAGTGTCTGTTATTCCCTTAATTGGGCTTTATTATCTTACTTTATGGCATTTTGTAAACAAAACGTCCACTTGCCATGTGTGAACTCTCTCCTCACAACCTCATAAAGGAAGTTTCTGCTTGGCTTTCTTTGGCTTTCTCAATCCATCATTTTTCATGTTAGTTACACACTTTCATATAGCTCCCATATGTCACTGAAATTATATTCTGTTCATATGGCAGTATTCATCACTATCCGAAAGCCATGTGATGGCAGATCTGGGAATATTGTCATTTTTAGCATCAATTCCTATACACAGCATAAAGGGTTGCTGAACAGTACACAGGGATGCATGTTACCTTTCCAAACGGCCATAAGCAACTGTGTGCTTCTGCTTTCTCAACTTTTGATCTGTAGGTAGGGTCTTCCCATAACTGGAGAGATTCAACTGTGAGATCTCTATCCTGTTCCTTATACACCCACAATAGGGTGTGTAGTAACCACACCATTGACTGAACAAGCAAAGGCCTGTTGTTCTGACACAGAACTGAACGATCTTTGTTTAATAAGTAGGCATGAGTCAAATTCATTTTGGGTACTGGAAGTTTCATCCACCAGGTTCAAACTTGCAGAGCATTATGTATGCCAGCTGATACCCAGATGCTAAAATGGATTTGACCATTAGTGTAACCCCAGTGCAGGTTGGTGAAACTTCCAGCAAGCTGTAAGAAGGTGTAAGTCAAAGTAGTCCTGCCAACTCCTTATCTTGTAAGTTACACCACCTTGGATTCTCTTGGACAGTGGCAGAATGTGTGTGAGTAGTTCTAAAAGAGTCTCACTGAGTGTATGGAAGTTAGTAGAAGAGGACCTGACTTACACATTACGTCTGAATTTGTAGTGTGTTCATGTCTTGTGCATTATAACTGCTAACACTCGAGCAGGGACCAGCATGGTCCACTGAAAGCAACTTTTCCATGTGAATGCAATAGAAGCCTCTCTGACTGAACCAGAAAGAGCAGAGGGGCAAGTAAAAGTCCTCTCTGTGGACTTAACAGAGCTTTGTGGTTCAAATGTGGGGGAAAGTTCAGCTGTGCATTCTGAGAAAGTCTATAATGACAAACCCAATTAAGTAGTATGTAGCTGGCCATTGAAATAATGGTTAGACATGTACCACATCCCGCACATTCCTTTCTAAATCATTCTTGTGAGGAGTAAATATAACTCAAATGTAACATACTGGTGGAAAACATAAATTGCAGCGATGAAAATAGGGATATGGGAAGCACTGTAGAAAATTCTGTAATGCCTTAATTGAGTTTATTTTAAAACAGACCCCTGCATTGTTAGATATAACCCTGATATATTTTTAGCACTAATCCACAGTCATGTGTGACTCAGATATATTTATATTTTAACCATTGTTACTACAGTGCATGAACAGAAAAGATAAGAGAAAGAATCACTGTGTAAAGCACAAATATGATTAGCAAGTCTGAAATACTGATTACTGTACATTAGCACAGGCTTGTGGTGGAAATAGTACATAGGACTGGTAGCCAGGATTCCTGAGTTCTATTCCCAGCTTTGTAGATGACTCACGATGTAACCTTAGTCAAGTCAGTGAGGGGCACGGTTTCAAACGTAAGTGTGCTAACCTGCACATTGACTTTTAACAAACTTTCAGTGCGTGCACGCAACCTTGATTTGTACATGCATAGAGATATTTTTACCCACAAGCCACAGTTTGTACATACACACAAACACCAGCTTTTGTTTAATGACCCCACCATGGATCTTCATCAGTGAGAATTAAACCTAGGACCTTCAACACTGAAAATACAAGCCACCTCCACTCGAGCTATAAAAGTAACTACATTAGGTTGAAGCAGTAGTAGACTCCAATCCGCAATGGGCACCAGCCATTAGAGTAAAACACTTAACCAATGAGCTACATTTGTATGCTCACACCTAGCACATTTGCATGTGTGCAAGTGCCTTTGAAATTTTGTCCTTCAGATTCTGTACTTTAGTTTTCTTCATAACACTTATCTATTACCCAGGGATGTTGAGAGATTTAGACAAGATGTATCAAATGCTCGAAGATCCTCACATGAAATGCACAATTGAGCCCCAATCCAAAATCCATTGAAATGAACAGGAGCCCTTCCATTGACTTGAATGGGCTTTGGATAAGGCCCTAGAAGGGCAAGATTTTGTTGTTGTTAAATACCAACGGTAAGTCAGAGTGCTTCTTTTCCACCTCGGAGACTGTTTAATCAATAGTTCTTTGCTTGTGTGTGTTTGTTTGTTTTTGAGGATGGTAGGGATACTCAATACATTATTTCAGGTCAAATATTTATGCACCAAAATAACTAGACTAGCTCTTTGTATTTGCTTTTACAATGGAGAATTATACTAACTTCCCTAATTATATACTTAAATCCCTGATACAACACAAAGATCCTTCTTGTCTGCCTTATTACTGCTTTCTGACTTGTTTTCAAATAATCCTACAAAGCTCTGCTGTACCTTTTGGCACCTAATGAAAACAAACACACATCCATCTAGCAAAGTATAAATACTGACAGCTTGGAAACATCTATAATCATAGACAATGGAATAACTTGTCATGGAATAATTTACGGCCACATGGCATTAAAAGGTTTTAAAAGGCGACTAGATTAGGGGCCAGATTCTCTGGCCTGCTCCTGTGCTAAGGGAATTGAGACTGCCTTTAATTCTCCTGCTACAGGAGCTCCCAGTGAGCACAGAGATGTCATAGACCCTGGACTCTTTAATTCCCCTCTCTGCCTGTGCTAACATTATTCTTCAAATGGATATTTCTTCATTATGTACAGTAAGCAATGTTGGGTCTAGTCATGATCGCTTTAAAGTCAGTGAGAGTAGCACAAATCCTTTCTTGCAATGGTGTAGAGCTGGCCATAATTACAAATATTTCCTCTAGGCTTCAGTAGAAATCTGGGTCCCCTCTCCAAACAGGGAGAACTGTTTAATGCATAGCGCCAACAATTAATTGTTGCCTGTTTCACAGACACACACCATTACATTCTTTCTTACTCACATTTTTCCACGAGAAATTGGACATCTCCTGAACGGCTGGTTGTCTTTCATGAATGATTATTTAACAGATTTGGTAACTTTTCTTTGCCTCGTGCTGCTCTTTCTGCTGTACAGGATATGATATAACATCATAAAGCATAAGTAATGAGAGAGAATCTACTTTTGCAACATGACACGTTGAACCTTAAATTGTTAAATAAGCCATGGTTTTAGGGTGGGTTTTGACTGCATTTCTTGAATATTTTTCTGTTAACCCACAAAGCAAATACCAAACCAAGTTTTTGTGGAATGCAATGAGCTGGCTATCTGCCATTGTAGACATTTCCATTCTGCCCTTCTTTGTATGTTTCACAGTGATACATTTCTAGTCACAGGGAAGTTTCTGATCCAGTCTTCAAGCACATATTGCTTGATGCCTTAACGTTGGTTTCGTTTCTTCCACTACTTTTAATAAGCACATCAATTGCAGCACAGTTAGAAACTGCAGTTCTGAGAAATGGAATTTGTCACTGCAAATAAAATGTTGTCTGGTTTTTCAGAGGTCATTTTAAGCCACAGCAAAAATGATCCGGAAAAAAGAAAAGAACCTCATTATTCCATAGTAATTTGGGGGGGAGGGATAGCTGAGTGGTTTGAGCGTTGGCCTGCTAAACCCAGGGTTGTGAGTTCAATCCTTGAGGGGACCATTTAGGGATCTGGGGCAAACACTGGGGACTGGTCCTGCTTTGAGTGGGCATTGGACTAGCTGACCTCTTGAGGTCCCTTCCAACTCTGATATTCTATGATTCTTGGGAAAACAAAGAAAGGAAAGGAAGCCACAGCAGTTCTACACCAGAAAAATGGCTTAATTCCCTCAGTTAGGTCTCTCTCCTCTGCTTCCTGCCCAGAGGAGAGGATCTACCTTCTCAAGGTTGAGATGTATGAAAGGGTAGTCTGAAAGGAACTGATGGTCTTGTTTTTAAGGTCCTGGACTGGGAATGAAGGTAATCGGGTTCAATTCCCAGCCCAACCACAGACTTGTGTGACTTTGGATAACTCAATCTACCCTATTCTTCAGTTCCCAACCTGTAAAATGAGCATGATATCCTTTCATTTGTCCCACCTTTTGTGTAATTTGTCTGTTTGTCTGTCATGCAAAGACTGTCTTTTAGTATGTGAAAAAGTAACTAGGCTACAATCCCATTTAGGCTTCTAGGCACTATGTTAATAGAAATAATTACTAAGAATGGATAATGTGAAAGGAACAGCCTGCATCGCTCCACAGTGACCAATCTGGCCAATCTAGCTAAGATACTGAAGAGAAAAACGGTTTAAAAAAAAACACAGGTCCTTGAGGGAGGGAAGTGGAAGCAGAAGGAAAGCTGGATGGAGTAACGGGATGCCATGTATATTTCTTCTTCCTTCCAACCCCATGTAAAAGGATACATGTTGAGGGATACAAGTTTTTGTGTAAAATAACTAGTTATGGAAATAAGTTAGTCATGGGGTGATGTATGTTCATTATCCACTCAGACCTCACATGGAAGGATCACTTCTAGGTATTAGAGGGGGTTAATTTACACTTCAGCCCTTGGCCTCTAGGTTGAGACAACCCATACAGGCATCAATTGTTGTCTTTGTTTGATTTTCTGTATTGGAAATGCATATTCAATAGAGCACGGAGTGTTGAAGGTTACCAGGCTTATTCAGAGACCAGTCTTCAAATGACAGTGGCTTTTAGTCACTATTGACATAGGATGAATTAGAATGGCTAACCCTAAGGCGAAATGCTCTGTATCTCATTAACAGTCAGTTGGAGCCATCCAGCAGCCCATGCTCTTCTTGTTAGGAATGTTTTAGCAATCTTTGACCTATGATGGTTGGTGTAATCCCCTCAGATTTGCAATGACTGCTGTACTGATTCACAAAGCACAGGGTTTTTCTACCTGCTATGTGACGCTTGAATAGAACAGACGTATTATGAATTATTACTACCAACTAGGATTAAAAATGTCAAACACTTTTTAAAGTCAATTACATTAATTAAATATTGTCTTTGTGTCAGCTGGCCAATATCTCTGCATAACGAATCCATTTCATACACAATAGGTCATGGGGAATTCTGTGCAATTTTAGTGCTGAACTTTCAAAAATTAATTGCATTTATTAGAGCAGAAAAAAATCCATAGCAAATGGTGGGGGAAACACCTAAATAGTAAAATATAATTGTTCAGTTCTATAGTATCATGAAAGGGCTGCATACACTGGCCTACTAAGATGCTTCAGTGGACCTTGCAAGTCAAAAAGGCAAATAATAATAGAAATGCTGGCATTTGATCTTTTTTATTATTACACCTTAACTTGTTCCCCCATGATATAGAAATTTACCTTCTCCTATACAGTCAATGTGCCTGGCTTATTAAATACGACAAACAATGTAGTTGTTCTGAAGGTGACTTGTGTCTATTTTGTAGTGAATGAATAAATGCTACAAATTAAATTTGTCATAGCCCACCTGAGCCCTTTTATACAGTGATGTCAAAGCATCATGGTATCAATTGTTGGTGATATTTTAATCTAGAAAAAGATTTTCAGAACAGGGACAACTTCTGTTAATAGATGTTGGCATGTTCTCTCTCTATGGCTTTGAGGGAATCTTGACATAACATAAATAGAGACTGTAAATTGTTTAGGGCAGGGTCTATTTCTTTAATATATGCGTGTATGGAGCCTAGCACACAGTGGTCCCCAACCTGAGCCTCTAGGTACTTCCATAATACTAATGAACAATAATAATATCTTAAATGTAGAGACCTCCTTCTATTCAGATGATCCCATAACGTTTTACAAGATTAAATTGATATGTAACTCACCAGTTTAATTATCCTACTGTTGGGGTGACATTCAACAACTGTTTCATAGGGCATAGCAATACCACAGTTTAGGAAGGAAGTGGAGGATACAATTTAAACAATGGGTACTATTTGGGTATGCAGGCTGTAATTATCCATGTCTGAATTTGGCCATGGCATTGGAGTTAACATTTTTGTTCTAACAAAAAGTGTCTTGAACTCCTGAACTGCCACAGGACCTTCGTACTGTCTCTTTGAACGATAGCATTTTCAAAAGTATAGTGCCTCAACAAAAATAGCATTGATCAACATATCTCTATCATCTTATTCATGTAGAGCTCTTTCTTTCCTTTTTTTTTTAAAGGTAATTGTCATATGTGAGTATGAACCAACCTAGTAAAAGTTTACAACCCCTCTTGTATTGTTGCTTTACCTTTGATCATAACTTGGTATTTACAAGCAAGGTAAATCAATAAACTCCCTTGGAAATTAATACAAATTAACCACGAGTCTTATCTTAAATAGATAAGAACACTGTGCAGAATTTTAGAAACATGCAGTAAAGACAATAGGTACTCTCATGAACATACTGACATGTATTCCATTAGAATTTGAGGGATTCTCTGAAACTGCTGTTGTACAGATTATCAAATTAGTAGCCATAAGAAAATTCCCATATTTAGCAGAATTCCAACTGAGATTCAGGAACTCTGAAAACAATGTATGACTATATGTGGTTTTGAATAAGCTGCAGTTATAAATGTCATAAAGGTATTATGGATTTAAAGAGCTAATTCAGAAGAGTTTGGGTTTTTTTCTAAATAAAAAGCCTGATAGCTTTTCAGAGTGGAGAAAGTATTGACATTTACTGCCACCTGTTGGGAAATATATAAAATTTCTCTCTCCCACAAGTATGCAACAGAGATACCAATATATACTGATCCCAGCATGCATCCAGTATATCTCTTTGTGTTATCACTTTAGTCTGTCGGAGGATTGAAACATCCAGTTTTTCTATACAAAACTTCTTTCTTACTTCTATTTGAGGGTAAATGAACAAAATGAAACCTCACGACTTAGCTTACAAATCAACGGCTAAGTCAGGAGCACAATCAGTTTTTTGAAATACTTCAAAACCATGAATCTTTGCATGTAATAATATACACATGAAACGTATCTGTTTGCAGGGACCTTTTTGACATTAAAGTATATGACTTTAAGTATAGTATAAAGCATATTTCAGGGGATCTTTGAGATTTTCCTTTGGAAAGCTACTATTTTCACCCCAGTTCAATAGATCATCAAATAATTTATTCCTATGAACTTCAAAAAAGAAAAACTATAGGTAGCAAATGTTAATACTAGAAATGCCATTGATGTACTTTAATAATATAATGAACAGAAAATTATAATGTTTCTAAGTGCTGTGGCTGTTAATGATTCCATAGCACTTTTTATAAGAATAGGGGCATTGTCCCAGAACAAATTGCTACATGGGTAATTACAATATGCCCACTTTAAATTCCCTAATATCAATTGGGTGCTGTGTTCTTCCTGTCCTAAATTGTCATCAATACCTAAAGTAGTTATAACAATAGCTATTGTAATTATAACAATAGTTATAGCTGTATGCTCTAAACAGCCACCACATTCCACATTGCAGTAGTGTGTTAATTGATTCCTGTGCATATAGGGCCAAATCTTTCCTAAGCAAGCACAGTGTGGGCAGCAGTTCTGATACTCTCAAAGCTCCAGATAAATTCAGTGAATGAGACATTGTGCCATCACAGAGAAGGGTTATCAGAATCAGGGCAGGGCTAGCTATTTGCTATGGAAAACTGTAGATTTTCCCTCCAACCATGCCTCTTTTACACTGGTCCGTGTCCTCTGCTATGAGTAGTCTGAGTCTCGTTCATTAGCAGCATGAGCCCGTTAATGCACCATGGCAGAGCCTCATCTTCATTCCCACACCTGTTGCAATGCAGCTTGCATGTGCACTTGGATCAAATGAGTCTAAATGAATCCAAGGGCTCAGTTGTGGAACCCTAATATAGGTGAGCACTTACCAGCATAGTCCCATAGGCTTGAGTGGAGCTAGTCTTATAAGTGCTCGGCAACATGAACAAGGGTTCCACAGCTGGGCCTTAATTGAGACTAAGAGGGCCACATGCTAAAATGAAAGTTAGATTCCCTTAAACCTTCTTACACCCATTCTACAAATGTGTAAGACAGGTGTAATTTAATGTATTTTGCACCTTCTTCCAGCTGATTATCC